ACTTGTTCGAATTAAAGTGTTTGTCTTACAAATTGTCAAGTTACTAATTAGAATGTTGTACTGATTCATTGTTCGATTTTTAGTGTTTGTCTAACAAATTGTCAATTTACCGTGTACAACCCTAATCACGTACCAAGAAATTTGCAATTTCAATAGATATCAAAATGTTGACAATATCATAAAAACTAAATGAGTAGTGGTCGAACATGTACCAAAATGTACTAAATAAAATTAAAATGGAAAAATATGTCAAAATAATTCCTTTAGAAAAACAAAATATTCCAGAATGTGATATGAAGCAATACATTTATTAGGGGAAAAAAAACATCAACAGGACAAATCGTTATCCGAATCATCATCTGAAGTCTCGTCTGGGTATCTTATCATGTTATGTGTGCTTTGTACATGTTTAGAGCTAATGATTTTCTTGCAGTTACTGATTGTTCCTGCAAAAAAAAAAATTATAGTCACATAAATAATATAAAAGTAATTCGTACTCATATATGTTCTTCAAAACCAAATTGATTGTTAATATTGCTCACATTGCTCAATGGTGCGTTGAATTCGTTGCCCAATAGCATTAGCAGGCACACGTACAATCCACAGTCGTACCTGTTGGTATTTAATTGTTAGTTTGTACTGTACTGAAAAATGTATGAAGTGTCTTAAACTTACGTATTTTGTTGAATGGGTACCCAATCCGCCTTTTCGTAATTCAAGAGAGTTGAATTGAATCTCGTTTTCGCCTCTCCATTGTCCCATTTCATCAACACTTTCTCTATTCGTTTTACCTGCAATATTAAGGAAATGATTGATTATACATAAGGTTGTCAAGATTTTAACGTCTCAACAGTAACGGGAACTAATATAGTTATGGTGCAATTACCAATTTTGTTACAAGGTCCATCCGATGGGTATCGGATTCTGCTGTAGGTAGAGAATCACAAATAGACACCGTATGTGTGTTAATATCTATAATGACACAAAACCAATGTTCCAAATTGTCATTAATTGGTATGTGGATATTCTTAACAGTAGATAGGGAACCAACGAAAGTTCTATCATTTGAAAAATATTTCTCAACCATATCTTCAACGCTCCAGGTTTTGTCTTCTTTCATCATTTGCTGAAGTACACAACAATTTACATATTTTTAGTTTATTTAATTTTTTATTAGAAATCAGATGTAAATAAAAATCATATTACTAAAATATTTTGACGAAATACGTACGGAAAATTTACTAGGCAAGTACCAATAGGTACGATCGTCATCGTTTTCAGCCATTTGCAGCGTCCGCATATACGCCACGCAGTCGATTACCTACATAAGGCAAACAAATATTGTAAGTACAGATGCTTTATATAACTATATCAAAAACAAATAAATAAGGTTCGACTTACGGCGCCACTAATGTTAGATGCATGGAGCAAGGTCAACAGTTGTTGCCTATTAATATACCATTTTCCAAAATCCAGAACTACCTGATTACTGTTCAAAATAATAGAACATTTATTTAGCTCCAATGAAATAGGTTGTAACATTATTATATTTGTAATAGTAGAATTACTCTCACCTCACATCAGAATCTGCGTTGAAAAGTTTGCGAATAATTCTTTCCCCATCCATAGGTTTTTTCAGTCCAGAAGACTGGAATTGGTTTTCGTTTCCAACGTAAAGTACCTCATCACCATCAATATTATCATCATCGCTAGTGAGATCAATTGTGTCCGAGGCATCAACACTTTTGTTAGCACTTTTATTGTCACTGCCGTTGAAAGTTAAAACCTTTGGCAATAGCGATTCGTTTCTAGACAAACTTCTTGGTTTGGACGAAGTCCAAACCCTTTCCTCAACGTTGTGCTTTGTGGATTTCGAAGTAGATCCCCTATTATGGAGAGATGGTGTGCGGTCCAATTTCTCCGATTGTCCAGTCAGCAATTTCGGTAGTGTCTCGCGAATCGTCGATTCTACCATTTGCGGGATCCTAGTTAGGCATCTCTGGATATCCGTAGCAATGGTACTAAATTCCCCCGCTTAAGTCACGCGTGATGTGGTACCATTACTCGATAATATTGCTTCCATGTCCTTCCGCAATTGTGAAACTGAAAATTCGAGTGACGTTATCCGCGAAGTCAACATTGATGGCATTATTCCAATTTCAGTAGCAGGAATGACTTTGCGCGTGTGGGGTGGCCCTGATTTTGTACAACTATTGTATGGATATACATGTGATGTACGACCACCGTATAATTGGTGTTCAAAGTCATTGTTGTTGTTACTCTTTGTTGAATTAGCCGGAATTGATGATTCAATCGAATTCGCTTTAGTTGTCTCAAACCTCGTAAGCTGAAATTGAAAGTTTTATTATGAATAATAATGTTTTTATACGAATTTTTTTTTTTGGAATTAGTCGACCAAATATGTTATGCGTTGAACTTGTAATGAAGTTACCATTGCGTTGCCGTAACCGCCATTTGACATCAACTCTTTGCATAGTGATTTGGAACGCATTTTCGACAAGTGTTGTATGAAAGGGACTTCTTTGCTGAGATCTAATGAATATTTTGACCCGCTTGTACGTACTCTTCCCAGGTAAATAACCTGCATCAGTGTCAGTTGATGTTAGCATTCTAAATCATTACATCAACTTGATGTGAACAATTAAATGTAAAAACAATAACATTACCTGTAGTAGATATGCACATCCACCAACAAATTTTGTCTTTGCATTACTTCTCCATTCATGTATCCCACGGTTTATTTTGTCAATAACTAAGGAAGCCCAATTCACTTTAGGTGTTTCAATAATATACTCAACTAGATTGAGGTAATGGGTTGGAATGTCATATTGATCACACGGGTATTGAAAAACACCGAACAAAAGGGTGAAGTACATAATCTTAAAATTTTTGCCATTGTTGATGTTCTTAGTCTCAGTTAAATGGCATGAGATCTGTCGTATCCAATTTAGAAACGCCATTACCCTTCATCCGGAAGAGTTTACCGTATAAGTTGGTGCCAAAATTGATTGATGTAAGGTGATATATTTTATCGCCTTCGTATGGAATGCCAAGAGCCTCGTACACTGCGTAATCATCCAACTGAAATTTTTCATTTAGCAAATTCATAGAACTGGTTTCGGGGCAGTAGTTGTGTACAATACACTCCAACAAATCACGGTTCATGTCATCGCAATCTCTAATCCTCGCCAAAGTTCCAAACCCCAAATCGTCTAATATCGCCAACTGATTTTCATTAAGGGTTTCATTTACTCGGATCAGCTTTGTCACTGAACACCTTGTTGCAAATCTTTTCGCCGGGGTCTGCGGCAATAAATGTACGGTTTATGGCCAATTATCCGTATAATTCAACAAAATTATAGTAATATGATGATGCTAAAATATAGCTCACCGGAGTAGTATAGAAAACGAACTGGGAGAGCAAAGCTGATCAGTAGCTAGTCAACTCGATGATCCTGAGGTCCCTACAAAATGAGCACACGTGAACTAAGCGGGGGGTTGATCCGGCGGAAACCCCTCCGACGCTCAAGTCAGATGTACGGATCGTAGAGATAGTAGAGAGAATAAAACTCGAGGTTCTTTTTGAATAATTAGAACGTACCTTTATGAATGAGTAAAATGTCTATTTATATATCGGTGATTGGGTTGGGCTTACTTTGTTGGGCCCAAGCCTTACTTTGAAGGTGTTTGGGCTTTCGCGTAGTGGGCCTAATTAGTAGATAAATTCGAGGGCCCGTTGGGCCGGCCCATTTAGGTATATCATTAAGCCCCCCAACTCTCGATTCGAGACGGGGACTTGCGTAGAGGGGTCCGGGTCTTGTCGAGAGTTAATTGCGTCGCGGATTTGAATAGTTTCCGTTGGCGGTGAAATAATTCCTTAATTTAAATAAGGGATAATTGTATTTAGTTGCAGCGTGGTATATATTTAAGGTTTTTAAATATTATACCAGGGCCAGATAAATAGACTCCTTTTGCTGTGGAAAGAATTACTTGAACTCTTGCAATAAATATGGGTATGTTCTTTTAACTTTAGGTCTTCTCCTGTGCTATTCTTCTCCTGAAAATATTTTTTTTATTGTGGTAGAGTAGAAATTTTTTGTTTCTTGATTATTTCTTCGGGGAAAAAATTATCTCATGTCGAGCTCGGGTAATTCGAAATCTTTACGAATTAAACTTCGAGATCCGGTTGAAGGGGGCAAGAAAACTTTTGGTACAGTGGGTATGGAACGCGAAAATCCTGTGGTATCGGGTGCGAAAATCGGATCCGCAGTGGGTGTTGCACGAAATTCTGTGCAGATGGGGGTGGTAGATGGCTCGGAGGAGGAAGGCGGCTTGAGCCGCGTTGCAAGTCGGCTGACTTCTGGTGAGAGGAATCCTCTCTTGGAGAGTGGGGAGCCGAGCCGGTGTCCTGAGCCATCGCTTCCAAAATGAACGACTGGCGACGAAATAAGATATTTGGCGACGATTTTTCGAGACTTGCGACGAAATATTTTCGTCGCCAAATCGGACAAAAAACGTCGCCAAACGCCCCGTCGCAAAGCCTGCGACGAAAAATAATTTTCGACGCGAGATTTGGCGACTAATCTGGGAAATCGTCGCCAAATTCGTATTTTCCGAAAAAATGATTTTTTTAATCCTCGCGACGGATTCCATATTTTCGTTGCGTAGTGTTTGCGACGAATTGTTATTCCGTCGCCAAGTTTAGCGACGTTTGTTATGATTTCGTCGCTAAGTGTGAAAATATGTTTGCGACTAATAATGGTTTTCGTCGCAAGGCATACAACTTATTTGCGACGATGTGTTTATTTGATTCGTCGCAAGCTAGTCATTTCTTTTGTTTGCGATTATAGTCTATTTTAGTCGCAAAGTTTGTTTTTTTTTTTTTTTTTTTTTAAATTAAATTCTGGTTCATATATATTTTCAATTGACGAATTCAACCTGTATTCAGCTGTTGTATAAAAAAATAAACACTTATATCAAAAATATTAAAACCAAATTTACGGATTAAATATCAAAAGGTACACAAACATAAATTCAAAAAGTACATAAAAACTTAAAAGCATATAATTTTGTGTTTCAAACTTTAATGCAAAAAGCAAACAAACTTCATCCCTTTTTATACTCCACCATCATTAGAAAGAGTCGATGTCGAGGCTTCTAGTCCAAAACGCCCGGCCAAGGTGTTCACAATTTCTCGGGTTTCACTCTATAGTCTTAGTTCTGTAGTTGGAATACCGGCCCCTCCGTATTCCCGTGTCTACTCGACCGATAGCCATGTTAAGATTCTGATTTTCCTATACATCACCGTGCAATAACATAAATGAGAAATCATTCGACTCAAATAATATAACCATGTTAGATCGAACTTGCAAAACACATAACCACATAAGTAACAAACATATACAAAACATTTTCTTCCTTACAGTTTCTTATAACATACCAATATAATTATCTTAAATGCATCGTTCATACGTTTTCTAGGTTATACATTTATGTTAACGTATAAGCATACGATAACTATAATAGCACATGCACACATAATACATGAAATTCAAATCCACATACTCCATTCCAAAGAACTATAAAAAAATCGTATCAGCTTTGCAATATAATCACATTAAGATTCTAAAACAATTTACAATTAAACCTTAATGATGAACTTCAAATTACTTAAGCGAACCTATACCCTTATCAGTCCTAAATCAATCGAGAGGTATCCTTAAATAGAACTATGTCCTCTAAATAACGTTCCAACAACTCTTTTCAGTCACAGTACTATATTTAAGAAAATTTGGCAGCTTTTGACTTCAACTTTGAAAATTCGTATCTCTTAAACCGTACATACAAACCTTATGAGGTGGAGTGTGGTAAGCAAAAACCAACCATCGATTCTAGCGAAATCTCGTAGGCCAAGCCGTTGAAATAACAAAGAAGCTCCTTTACGAATATTTGTAATTACATCTTCCGGAAAATGAGGTGGAGTGTGGTAAGCAACCTGCAGAGTTTGTGATCAGTTTTATTTCTGATATTGCTTGAAACAAGATGAGAGATATCCTTGAAAAGGTATTTCAGTGAAATTTTACTCGACTCACTATACCTGCTGTGTCGGCAGATATTTCCGCCGATAATTAAAAATAATATCCTTTTCATTTGAATCGGCACTGCCGTGAGATAGAAGTTCCACCTAGTAATAAAGACATTGATTCTATGATAAGTGAATCTAAAATAAACCAGTCGTACGAACCTATATCAGCAATTAAATAAATATCCAGATACTCGAAGATATACTCTTAGCATGATAAGAGACGAGAGCATATACCTCTGTCGGGAGTAGAGCAACTGGCTGGCAATCGAAACCAGAACCCACATCTAGGACGATCGTTGTAAATTCTCTACCTCCTTCCAGAAAAATCTCTACAATAACTTTATCATCAATTCCCTGTTAAACATTTACATTTCACTTTATTAAATTTACAGTGAGTCCAGAAATTCATTAGGCGAAATAGAGGATGAGGCCTAGTATTACCTCTGATATAATTGCATTAGCTTTTGTCAGAGAATCGGTAACGCCATAAGCAACAGTAACTCCGATGCTTGATCCTGCTCTTGTTGGCTTCACCTGATATTATTGCACGAAAGATGGGACTGTAACAAAACTGTCGAGTATCTCTAAATGCTGAAATTCGATAAACAGTCTTACCACAACTTTTCCTTGTTCGACATCTATATTATTTGTGACGAACCACGTTGACAGCTCAGTTTCTTCCGATTCACTTCCCTGAAATTTCCCAAAAAAATAAAAGACTAAAGAAAGAATAGAAGAGAGTATGCCAATGCAAGCTGTTACTGCAATAATTTAGGAGAATAATTTCAAGAAAAAAAAATTAATGAAAAATCATTTACGGCAAAAAGGACAACAGTTTTGAGAAGCGGGTTACATGACAACCAGAAAATTACCTGTATTAAGAAACTGGGTACGGTAACAAACCCTTGTTTGTCAAGCTCCGAAGAGGCATCATACTGCAAATAGTCCAAAGCAAACGACATATTAGCTCAATTACCAAATAGGAGTCGGACCCCCGCAATTTATTTCACCCCAACAAAGAATTTTCATCGAACAAAGAAATTGGATCTCAGATATAATTTAAGACTCGTGTTGACTCAGTGAACGAGAAAGTTTATCAAATGCTTTACGACATTCATTCGACTGCGTCTCAACAAATGGGATATTTGATTTCTCCAACAGCTCCTGCAAAGTAGTTCATACGAAAAAGATATCACAAAATGTACGACAATTGGTTCACTATATTGAAAAATGTATCAACAAATAAACAACTTTTGTAAGTCACCACAATCTCACTTGAATGCCACCGTCTTCACCGAAACGGCCATGTATAACCGGAAATACTATGTCCACGGAGGTGGCAAGGTGTTCGACAAAATCAGACAATGATTCGAAACCGGAGCGAGGCTGCAATTATAATGTTGAACTTAGTTTTCGAAAATTGATTAAAACAAAATGGTAAAAATATCCCGGACAAAGCTTACCTTTCGAGTTTGAAATCAAAATCTGCAGGTGTGTTCGAGTAAACCTGCAATTGAAAATCATTATCAGAACTCAAATAAAATATGTAAATGGTGGGATTGAATTTGAAACAAAATTGCAGGGAGAAGCGATAAATTAGCAACCATCAGAGAAGTTAATTAATTCAGGTTGGTGGAATCAGAGGGCGGACGGAGGCGGAGGCGGAGAGGGAGGCGCCGGCGGAGGGTGGGCTGTGAGAGATTGAAAGAGAGATTGTGAGAAACGAAGAAGAAAAGAGTTAAAGAAGAGGGGAAATAGAATTAAAATCGTTTTATACAAAATCGTAGTAAACAAAGACTAAAACGAATCTCTTTGCGACGTTTTATTGGCTTTCGTAGCAAATAAAATAAAAAAAAACTTAATAGAAAATCGTAGCAAACAAAGACTAAAACGAATCTCTTTGCGCCGTTTTATTGGCTTTCGTAGCAAAAAAAAAAAAAAAAAAAAAAAAAAAACTTAATAGACGTGCGACGTTTATATAACGACGTCGCTACGAGAGGACTTTTTATTTTTTATTTTTCCTTTGCGACGATTTCGGAACTATAGTCGCGAGTTAGCGACGATTAATATTTTGCGTCGCTAGACTAAACACCAAAATCATAATTTCCGACATCTTGCGACGATGTTTAATTTAAAACGTCGCAATTCCGCGACGATTCATAAATCGTCGCCAAAAAAAACGTCGCCAGTGAGACTTTTTATTTTTTATTTTTCCTTTGCGACGATTTTGGAATTATGGTCGCGAGTTAGCGACGATTACTATTGTCGTCGCTAGACTAAACACCAAAATCATAATTTCCGACATCTTGCGACGATTTTTAATTTAAATCGTTGCAAGACCGCGACGATTCATAAATCGTCGCCAAATAAAACGTCGCCAGTGAGCTGTTTTGGCCTAGTGAGGGGGGGCTGCCGTTCCACGTGGTCCAATGGTGGACGGACGCGCGCGCGCGTCGGAGTTGGGGGGAGAAGGATGGCGCGCGCGTCGGGCGTGGGGGGACGCGCGCGGGCGGTTGGTGCGTGCGCGACCGACGCGCGTGGGGCTGGGGGAGGGGCGGACGCGCACGCGCTGCCCAATAAGGGCGCGCGTGCGCGCGCGTCGGCGACTGGGAGGGGAGCGCGTGAGGGTGCGTCTGATGGGGGTTCAAGCGCGCGCGGGGGCGCGCATCTCGAGACGACGCGCGCGCGTGAGGGCGCGTCCGGATCTAGTTTTCGGCTCGATTCGCGCGAGCGGGTCGGGCGAAATGAGGAGCGAATTTTCATTGAAGTAATGTGAATGTGAGGGGTTCCTTAAGGCGAGAAATCATCGAATCTTGGAGTGACGATGTATAAGCGAATGATAATTTTAGTGAGCAAGTTGATGGAGTTGTGGCTAGTAGGCGTTATTCTCGACGCCAAGTTGTTGATTTTGGAAGTGATAGTGATGATTCTAGTCGATCGCATTCGTCGAGCGAGCATGTGGTGTCGAGTAGTGAAGTTGATACGGTGGTCGAAGAGGAGGAGGAAGATGATATTCCCCCATGTGATGTTGAGATTGATACGAGGAGGCAAAAGAAAATTAAGCCAATTAATTTGGACTTAATTGATTTTGATAGTGCATTGACGGAAGAGCATTTGAATTCTATTCGTCGTTTATCTGGAGCGCCAAGTAATGTCGAGTTGTTGTTGCCTCAAAAGGGTGACCGTTTGTACTCGCCACCCGATGGGTTTCATACGGTATTTTTGGGGTACTTGACGTGTACATCTCAGATTACTCCGCATCCGACCTTGTTGAAGGTTTGCGAGGAATTCAAGATAGGGTATAGTCAGCTCACTCCCACTGCTGTTCTGATGTTCGAGGCGTTTCACTATAGGGTGGTTCGAGTAGGTCTTCCAGTTACTGTGAGTTTGTTTAAGGCGTTATTTACGTTACATCGGCCCACTAAGATGCCTTTCTTTTGTTTTCATCCTCGCGTTCCCTATCAATTCGTGAAGAGTGTGAAGTTATCCTTGGGGGAATGGAAGACCCATTTTTTTTATGTGAGGGCTCCCACTTTTGACGTTCCCGTAGTTTGGAACCCTACATGCGAGAGTTTCAAGATTGCCGCCAATATGGCGAAGAGGATTGAAGAATCTGGGTTGTGTGATATGGAGTTTGATCCGAGGTGTTTGATACCGAAGGCGAAGGGTCAGCACTGTATATTCGTTTGATGCATTGTTGGGTCTTTTTTTTTTTTTCTTTTTTTTTTTAGTTCTTTGGTAGTATATATCTCATGTCTCTTATGTGGTTGTTTTCTTATGTAGATGGAGGTATCACCTTTGCGGCACTTCGAGCTAAGGCGAATGGGACGTCGAAGAAGACATCAAAGAAGGTTCCCTCCACTTTGGGAGGTTCTTCGGGTGGTTTGCCTCGTGAGGCAGTCCATGTAGAAATTCCTCGAGTGATCGAAGATGACCGTAGCAGTGCTGGTGAAGTGGAGGGGCGTCCACCAACGAGGGACCGTGGCAAGGGAAAGAGGGTGGATACCGAGTATGTGGTTGTGCCTAAGCGTCCGCGGGTAGAACCCGAGGATACCTATGATTTCCATGGTGGAGGAGGGAAACAATTGTTTACCTATGGCGTGAATCGCGACGGTAAGGAGTCATATTGGGATGTGTCGGACCGTGATCTGCCTATGTTGAGTACCGAGGGATTCGTTCGGGAGTATGACCGTGCTCGGATGTCTGGTAAGGGCCATTCTCACATGTTGGAGTTAGCCGGTGGGGATATATGTCGGGTGAGTCCTTGTTTATTTAAAACCAGGTTAAATGTTACTTCCTCTCTTCCTTGCGTGAAAAATATTTTTTATTATTTTTTTTTTTAGTTGGTAGCGACTTGGAGATATCTCATGGAGCACGGTAGGAGTGCGGAAGCTAGGAAGGAAGAGGAGCGAGTTCGAAGTCAGACGCGTGAGGATGAACTTCTAAGCCAGTTGGAGATAGCGCGGTCCGATCTCGCTCAGCGGACGGAAGCACTTGCTCAGAGGACAAAGGAGCTTGCTCAAAGGACAGAAGAGCTCGAAGTTATCCGAGGTGACGCGAAGGCGTATAAGGATGATGTTCATAAGTTGAACGAGTGCTATGACCAGCTGAAGGACAAATACGAAGTCGAGAAGGCGACGGGGAAGAGGTTCCTCGCGACGTCAGGCGGTCCGGCTTATAGGGAGTCCATGGTGGAGGAAACCAAGCTTAGCTTCCGAGGTAGTGATGAGTGTGCTGCTATGATTGAGGAGCATGCATTGGCTGTGGTTTATAAGCCATTAGTGCGTGCTTGTCGCAAATATCTGCGCGATGCGGGTGGGATCAGCGAAGAAGTGATTCGTGGGATGGAAGTTGGCATATCCGATGAAGAAGAGGATGAGATAGATGTCAATGGGAAGGGCACAGAGCTCGTGAATGACATGGTTGCGGATGACTCCACTGTGGGTACGTCTTCCGCTCGTGGTAGGGGAGTTTAGACTTATTTGTTAGGATAGTTAACTTTCCCCCCTTTTTTTTTTTCTATGGATTTCTTAGTTTGTTTTTATCGCTGATGTAGATGGGTATGTCCACTACTATTTCGTTTGAAATTCTTTCTTGTTTGACTTTGAAGTTTAATATTTCGATTTATTTATTTTGACATTGTCAAGAATTAATGCGTTGCTTATATGTATTTACATTAGCATCATACGCGATGTACTTGAGGAGGGGATCAGTCTCGCAAGGTTTTTGTTAAGGGTCGTGCCCTTTGTTCGGACCGCTTGGGTCTTAAATATATTTGTCCGTGGCCACGTTTTATAATTAACACCTCGTGAAACAAATAAAGGGACTCAAATAATCCAGCTGGCCAGGCTATATGGATTATCTAAATCTCTGTAAGTGTTTATAGGGTGGTATTGAATTGGGCTCATGATGAGAGGTAATTTGTATTGATGTGAAGGCACAGAGAGTAAAACGAAAATTGTGATTTATTCGATGGTAGCAAAGGAGAATTGTTACAAGCCTATGTGAGGCGAATTTAAATAAATAGCTAATGCGATGGGCCTACATGAGGCGAAGGTAACTAGCTACTGCTAAAGCAAATAAATTGTCTTGAAAAAAAAAATCTTCTGAGTGATTGTGCTACACTTGTTCTTCTTCCACGTCTTCCTTGTAGTCGTTCGTTTCGCTGTGCTGATGGTAGGCTGAATTCGTTTGGCGTCTCTATGCCTGTCAGGTATAATTGAGGAAAAAGGAATTTTGTTTAAGCATTTGTATCGAAGACTTAGTAATTGAAGCTGAGGTGATGTGCATTGCCAATTCACGTACCCTAACACGGGAATGGTTTTTCTTCCTCGCACTTCGAGATATGAAATCAACTCGTGAGTTGCTGTGATTTGCTGTGTGATCGTGCCTGTTAGATGGAATGATTTTGTCACGTTAGTAAGAATAAACGAGAGCATGCGTGTGGTGTAGTCTAGTGGAAGTATTGTTACCCTTGGCGATGTGGTATGGGGTGGCTTCGCTCTTTGGGCCATTGGTTGAGCAATATGCATCCTCTCGTAATTGACTCTCACTCTATAATAAGATGGTGAGATGTGAATACGAATTGCTGATGTAAGTAAATTTACTAGCCCCCCAGTTTAGGTGGGACGTTCACGTACCTCGTTATGTAGTAGAAAGTTTCCAAAGCATGTAGAGACGGAGCCTGCATGGGTAATGTTTTGTAAGTAATTTTCATATAGGGGGGGGGGGTATAGGTGGTGACTTCACCGGATATTGATTTAGGTAGATGTATACCTTAAGCGTAGAACCGTTTGAGGTTCCCTATATTCCACGTTCTGGGTATAGGGCGTCCGTCATTGGTCTCGAGGCGATATGCTCCAGTGTTGACCACTTTGGTGATTTTATATGGTCCTTCACACTTTGGATCGAGTTTTCCGATGGGGTGAGAAGCTTCGACTTTTCGGAGGACTAAATCCCCAACTTGAAAGGATCGAGGGCGGATCTTTGAGTTATAGGCCTTGGCCATGCGTGATTTATACATCTGTTGTCGGATGTATGCAATCTCACGTAGCTCATCTACGAGGTCTAGGCTTCCCCGCATAGCTTCTTCATTAGCTGCTTGATCATAGTTGGTGATTCGCCAAGATGGTTCTCCGATTTTGACGGGTGCTATAGCCTCTCTTCCGAAAGCTAGATTGAAGGGCGACTCTCCGGTTGCTGCTCGTGGGGTTGTGCGATAAGCCCATAGCGCGTTAGGCAGTTTTTCCACCCACTTCCCTTTAGCACTTCCAAGCCTTGTTTTAAGGTGTTGGAGTATGGTGCGATTCGTGACTTCCGTCTGGCCATTAGCTTGTGGATTGGCTACGGATGTGAAGAAATGCTTGATGTCCAAGCCGAGGCACCAATTCTTTACCTTGTCACCACAAAATTGGGTTCCATTATCTGAGATAATGGAACATGGGATCCCAAAGCGACACACTATGTTCTTCCATAGGAATTGGATGACTTCTTCTTCTCGGATGCGTGCTAAGGGTTCCGCCTCCACCCATTTGGTGAAGTAGTCGACTGCTACAATGAGATATTTGCATCCTCCTGTGGTGGGCGGGAATGGTCCAACTAAATCCATCCCCCATTGGGCGAAATGGATGGGGCTGTCAATTGGTTGCATTAATGCCGCAGGCAGGTAAGGGATATTTGCATGCTCTTGGCAGGGCTTACACTTCCGGACTAACTTCTTCGCGTCTTCATGCATCGTTGGCCAATAGTAGCCTTGCCTCAGTAGTTTGAGAGCTAAAGTTCTCCCGCTTAAGTGATTTCCGCAGATGCCTTCGTGTACTTCTCTAAGTACGTAATCCGTTGTGGTCGGGTCGAGGCACTTGAGGTAGGGGAATGAGAACCCTCGTTTGTACAACTCTTCTCCTACTATGACGAAGCGAGCGGCTCTCGTTTTTAACTTTCGTGCTTCGGTGGGATCCGTTGGAAGTTCTCCCTTCTTGAGGTACTTCAGGATTGGAGTGAACCAGCATGGTTCATCCTCCTCGGTGTACTGTACTTCAGTGGGTGAAGTTATCTCTGGCTGAGGTGAGGTGAGGAGCGTCACCTTCCGACTTCCGATACTAGCCATGGAGCTTCCAAGCCTAGCTAATTTGTCAGCGTGGACGTTATTGGAGCGAGGTACTTGTCTTATCTCGTAGCTCTCGAATTTAGATAAAAGAGTGTGCGCGAGAGCTAAGTATTTGGCCATGGTGTCTTCTTTAGTCTCGTAAGCTCCGAGTATTTGGTTGACGACGAGCTGAGAGTCGCTTTGGATTAGGAGCTTGCGCGCTCCAGCTGCTAGGGCGAGGCGGATTCCCGCTATCAGTGCTTCGTATTCAGCTACGTTGTTTGAGGCTGTGAATTCGAATCGTTGAGCATATTCGAATTCGTCTCCATCGGGGTTCGTTAGGACGATACCCGCTCCACCTCATGTGACAGTGGAAGATCCATCAACGCTGACAGACCAAGTAGGTAGAGAGGTGATTTCTTCTACTTAAGTCATTTCGACTAGAAAATCAGCCAATACTTGCGTTTTGATAGCAGGGCGGGGTTTGAATTCGATCCCATATTCGCTTAGCTCTATCGCCCATTTTGCTAATCGTCTGGATGTCTCAGGACTCCTTAGTATTTGCTTCAGTGGAAAATTGGTGAGAACCACCACTTAATGTGACTGGAAGTAAGGTCGAAGCTTTCGAGCTGCGTTGATGAGGGCGAGAGCGAGTTTCTCCATGTTGGTGTAGCGTTGTTCGGCTCCTTGAAGGGCGCGACTTATGTAGTATATTGGTTGGTGGCCTTTTCCTCCATCTCGGATGAGGACTACGCTGATGGCATTAGCTGAGGTAGCTAAGTATAGTAGGAGGGTGTCTCCGGGCTAAGGTTTTGTGAGCAGGGGTGGGGATGCTAGGTACGACTTCAGCTCAACGAATGCCTTTTGACATGCTTCATCCCATTCAAATTTCTTTCCTCCCCTTAAAATTTTGAAGAAGGGGAGGGCCTTGTCCGCTGATCTAGAAATGAATCTATTCAAAGATGCCAAGCAACCGTTAAGTTGTTGGAATTTCTTGATAGATGTTGGTGGAGGCATGGAGGTAATTGCTTCGATTTTTGCGGGATTAGCTTCGATTCCCCGATGTGAAATCATGTATCCCAAAAATTTGCCACCCCGAACTCCGAACGAGCATTTGAGGGGGTTGAGTTTCATTTTATATTTTCGCAGGGTAGCGAAGCACTGATCCAGATCAGTTAGGTGGTCCGAGACCTTGACACTTTTGACGAGCATGTCGTCGATATACACCTCCATATTCTTACCGATCTGGTCTGCGAACATGGCGTTTACTAGACGTTGGTAAGTGGCTCCCGCATTTTTTAATCCGAAAGGCATAACTCGATAGCAGTAGATGCCTTGGTCTGTGACGAAGCTAGCCCTCTCCTGATCTTCTGGTACGAGCAAGATTTGGTTATACCCTTGATAAGCGTCGAGGAAGGTGAGGAGCTCGCATCCTGAAGTTGAATCGATGAGTTGGTCGATTCTAGGTAAAGGAAATGGGTACTTAGGACAAGCTTTGTTGAGGTCAGTGAAATCCACGCATAACCTCCACTTTCCCCCGGGTTGGGGAATCGACAACCATTCAGGATACTGAACTGGTCGTATATGACCCGCCTCTAGAAGTTTCGCCACTTCTGCCTTGATGTGCTTGTTGCGTTCGGGTCCAAATGTTCGTTTCCTTTGCTTGATCGGCTTCAACCTTTTGTCGACGTTAAGCCGATGTAGAGCTACATGAGAGGGGATGCCAGACAAATCTTGAGCTTTCCAAGCGAACACGTCTCCATTCTGCCGTAAGAATTTGATTAATTGCTTCTCCATCGCAGGATCTAAATCGGATCCGATGCGTAGGAGTTTGGAATCATCTCCAGGTGTGAGCTCTATGAGCTTAAGCTCTTCGACAGCCGCTAGCTTGATGCTATCGTCTAGTACACTGATGAGGAGTTCTTTATTGTCCTCAATGATCGCAGCATTGACCCACTTCCGTTTGTCGGATTTTTGGGTGTCGTCTCCCCTTCCGGATGGTTTAGACTTCTTGGAAGGTTCTCGTAAGGCCCTTTCATAGCACTCTCGGGCGAGACGTCTATCTTCAAGTATTTCCCCCATGCCATAGGGAGTAGGGAATTTCCACTTCTGATGGTAGGAGGAAGGTACGGACTTGAATGTATGGATGGCTGGCCTCTCTAAGATGACGTTGTAGGGAGATGGCTTGTCGACGATGAGGAATTTGATTAGCTTGGTGATTCGACAAGGGTTTTCCCCTAAATAGACGGGCAGCTCTACTTCTCCCATGGATAATATGCCTTCTCATGTGAATCCTTTCAGGGTGTGGAGACGGGATTAAACCGGGCATTATCTATGCCCAGCTGCTTAAAAGCGTGGAGATACATGATGTCAGCTGAGCTCCCACCATCCACTAATATCTTCTTGACCAAGAAGTTGGCCACCGTTGTTGTTACTACCAACGCATCGACATGATCTTCATCAGGACCTTCAAGGTCGGAGGAGTTGAAGACTATGCTATGATCAGGTCTTCGTATTTGGTAGATGCGTGCGGATGGAGAAGCACGTTCTTGATTCATGCGTGCCGATCGAGCGAGGGTGCGTCTTGCATTTTGTGAATCGCCACCCGCCGGTCCTCCGGAGATAAAGGAGATGATTCCCCGGGTAGGTTGCTTATCGTTGTTATCTGGGTCACGTCGATGACCTCCATCCTCTCGCATTTGCTGTTGATCTCGATTATTATCTCGGCGTGGGGGATCATCACGGCGCTTATTTCGAGGCTTATCAATGTATTCGCCTAAATGGCCCTGTTTGATCAGCTTCTCAATTGCCGCTTTGAGTTGTGCACATTCCTCCGTAGTATGTCCTCTGTCCCTATGGAATTGACAATAACGATCCGACTTTTCTCGCTTGGCATTCGGCTGCATAGGACGTGGAGGCTCCGCTAAACCTCTCTGTTCTATCACGTGAAGGATTTCAGTGAGGCGAGCGTTTAACGGAGTGAACCTATTGTAGGAGGAGGAGGGCTGGCCTTTAGGTGGAGGTGGTGGACGTCGATCATTGCGCCTCCTCTTGTCCTGACGCTCATCTTCCCTTTTCCTTTTAGGAGGAGCATGGGTAGAGGCTTCCTCTATCCGGACGTATTTTTCGGCTCGATTCAGCAACTCCTCCAAGTTGCCTGGGGGTCTTGCGGCTATAGACTCTTTGAATCTACCCGGTTTCAAGTTCTGTTGCATAATCCCAGAGAGCATGTCTTGCCCTACACTGAGGACTTCATGGACGGCTTCCACGAAATGCTTAATGTAGTTGCGGAGCGTTTCGTTATCTCTCTTTACTACAGAGAAAAGATGAGCTGGGGTCTTGGCATATTGTTTGTTGATGGCGAATTGGTTGGCGAACCGGGTTGACAACCGAGCGAAGGTGTCAATCGACCCTATGGGTAGAGAGTTGAACCAATTCATTGCCCTCTTGGAGAGTGGTGCGGAACATTTTGCACATCGCAGCATCTGTCGGGCCATATAAATCCGCCATGGCACTGAATTTCTCTATATGCTCTTGTGGGTCGGTGGTCCCTTCAAATTGAGGTAACCCCGAGATCTTTACTCCTTGAGGTAATACCTCGTTGAGAATGTCTATGGTGAAGGGACTGCGTCTTGTTGGGACAGGCATTCTTTCGCCCATTAGATTATTTGGTTGGGGGAAGAGATTTTGACGAGACATTCTGCTGTTTACCTCGCCTTCTCCCTCATTAAAGAAAGGGACTCTCTGTGGTGATGCATTCCCCCGTGGGGGTGAACGTCGACGCTGCTGTCTGGGTTGTGCCCCTCTTTGATTTGTAGATAGCTGCACTCGGGACCGTGGGTCCGAGGTAGAGGAGGAGACACTTATTTGATTCTGAATTGGCGGTGGGGGCACAGGTGGCACTATAGGTGGAGCTGGCGCTGGTATCGCATTGGGAGCGTTTGCTCCCATCGTGGCGATATATTGAGTTACGGCCTCCGTAGCGGCGCGAGTTGAGGCTTCTGCTATCATGCGTTGGAGTGCGTCCTTGGTTATTTGAACCGTTCGATGAGCAGGGAGTGGTGGATCGGCGAGTGGTGGGTCCCGAGGAGGGATCACCTGAACCTCGCGAGGCGGATCTGCAGCACGTGGAGGAGGTGGCTCCGCGGCGCGTGGAGGAGGTGGCATGTCAGATCCTCCACGGACAGGGAGGTTATTAGCTGTGTCATTTTCTCTCCGAGCTGACGCCTCAGGAGGAGTTTGTTGGCTACGTGATCTGGTTTGCATCGTTCCCACAGACGGCGCCAAAATGATGATGCTAATATATAGCTCACCGGAGTAGTATAGAAAACGAACTGGGAGAGCAAAGCTGATCAGTAGCTAGTCAACTCGATGATCTTGAGGTCCCTACAAAATGAGCATACGTGAACTAAGCTGGGGGTTGATCCGGCGGAAACCCCTCCGACGCTCAAGTCAGATGTACGGATCGTAGAGATAGTAGAGAGAATAAAACTCGAGGTTCTTTTTGAATAATTAGAACGTACCTTTATGAATGAGTAAAACGTCTATTTATATATCGGTGATTGGGTTGGGCTTACTTTGTTGGGCTCAAGCCTTACTTTGAAGGTGTTTGGGCTTTCGCGTAGTGGGCCTAATTAGTAGATAAATTTGAGGGCCCGTTGGGCCGGCCCATTTAGGTATATCATAATACTAACATATAAATTCACTATGCATTTGCCGTAAATTGTTTGAGGAAGTCATCCATGGCATTAGAAGGCATCGTATCAACACCTCTTTTAAGAGATTTCGATTTCCTATTCTGTATGATTTTTCGTACGGATATTAACAAAACAAAAAAAATCAGATTTTAAAAAAACTGTGCGAATTTATGTTTGATTATAACACCAAAGAAAAACATGGAACTAAAAAAGGAGTCTCACCACTTTGTTGCCGGTATTTGAGCATTCAATTTTCCTCTTTCCCGATGTTGATTTATCCCTCCACAATTTGTAAATTAATTAATTAATACAAACGATTAAACATAAGTTTCCATAAAACAGTATGCAACCAATGGAGATTTAAACATGTCTATTTTGTAGTGGTTTCACAATTAAAAAGAACTTACATATTCGCAATCGGCTGTGGGGTTCTTCCTCGTTACACAGAAAGTAGGTCAAATTTGCTTAAAGTCGAGCGATATGGAAACGAATATATATTACGTATATAACATAATTGTAGTCGAACACGGAAGTGGGCGCAAATCTTGGAGATATTGATTTCCACAAGATTTTGTTAACTAATTTGACAATTATTTTCCACAAGATTTTGCAGATTTTGGTAACCATTAAGAAAATAATGTGATTAGATCAGGATAGTATTTTTGTAATATTAGGAGTATTATTAGGTCATTACGTGATACTAGAAGTATTATTAGGTTGTATCATTTGTTTGGGTTAGTATAACCTTATTTTGTGTTACTTTCCATTAATTGTTAGTTAATTTCCATAAGATTTGATTTTGCTACCATATTCTTGAAAAGTTAATATGTAACACAAGTTCATTCAATTTGTACTAGTTACTTCTACGTGTATAATCAAGAAAGTGCCAAGTTTTGTTCGTTTTTTTGAAACAAAATAATATGTGTAAAAACACAAATTGAACGTCAACGTAAATTTAAAACAGATACAAAGCTCTAGTTGTATCGTCAAAAAAAGGGAATGTAGATGTCACAGTACAAATTAATAGAAAAACAGTCTTCATATATAAATTAGTACAACATAAAAAGTTAACTTAGAAGTTGCATCATGTTCTACTCAACCAACGTGATTGCCATAACGTTGTTGTTTTGAATATATTCAAATGAATACTCAAGACCAAACACCAACTTACTTTTAGCAATGAATACACTCCAATTGTCATGAAATTGAAATCTCCACCTGTTTTTGTTCTTCCTCTTTCGAATCACGACTTCGACAATGGTTTTCCCTTCAAACTCCATCATTACACTTTGTTTATCGTATAAAGCAGCAGCATCCACAATATAGAGAGGTATGCCTTGCATAGCAACAAACAAACAAAAATATTTAATTAATTATTGAAGGTAATAATATGTAATTGGCGTCGTTGAGATGTGCGATATGTTTACCATTCAATAACGTGAATGTTTTTGCAACACAACCTGGAATTTTAGCTCTAAGTCTGAATGGCCTTCATTGTCTCTTCTAGTGAATTCATCGTCATCGACTGGAAGGGATTCCTCGTCGCTGTCGGCGAACTCTTCATCCCCGGATTCGGTTTCAACATCTATGACTTCAATAACGTACGGGAATTTTTTCATGGATCCTCCAAATCCATACGCGGTTACTTCAAAGGTGGAGTGACCGACGTAAGTGAATTCCAGGCTTTCATTAATCAGCATTTTGAAATGTACTAACATGTCTTGCCACCCAAAACCATAAAAACAATACTTGCAGCAATTACGATGAACATCAACGATCCAAAATTTGCCATCTTTAGCAGTAAGCTTTGTCGTTTTCTCCCATATACTACGATTTCGAGCAGCAAATTCAAAAGGAATTATCTATGCAACATTAAATCTAATAATATTAGCATTTATATATACAAATGTGCTAGTGTGTATACATGGTATTAAGTAACAGTTGGATTAAGTAACTTACACCCTCCATTGAGAAGTCATTGCGATCTAAGACTTGTGCAACACAATCCGAGCCGATCAACAACATTATTTAATTAAGAAACTGATAACGTGAATTAACGTTACAAACAATACATATTCATACCATTCGCCATGATGGGTTTTGATGATCGGCATCCATCCCTCAATCGATTTCCCTTTTGTTTCGAAACTGTATGCATTAAAAAATATGACGATTTAGAAAAAATATTGACATCTCAATGAAGACACCTCTTACGACGAACTGTTGTTCACATCTGATAACAAAATACAAGATATTCAATAACAATGTTTAGATTCATAACATATGCTGCATACATAGATCAAGATACACAGTTTCAATTGATACATAAAAGAAATAAAATAGGAAACCACTCCATCCAATAGAAAATGTTTTAGTATACAATCGTTTCTACAAACGTTTGTTACATACCTAGGGGGGAGAACGGCGGAGAAGAAATATGTGTGCAATGATTTTTTAATTTTAGGGTTTTTTTGGGTTGGGGTGTATTTCGGGAATCTGATCTTGCACGTCAGATATTGCCACGTGTAGGGGTGGTAAACGAGCCGAGCCGGCTCGTGAGCTCGACGAACCGGCTCGTAAAAAGCTCGAACTCGGACTCGAGGTTTTCGAGCTCGAGCTCGAGCTCGCGAGCTCGAGCTTTCTGACGAGCCGAGCTCGAGCCCGATTTTAGTTGTTCATCAGCTCGCGAGCCGGCTCGCGAGCCGGATTTATTAATATTTTTTTATTTTTTTTATTTTTTTTATTTTTTATATGTTATTTTTATTTAAAAATGTATAATAATATAAAATATTATAGAAATAAATACAAATATTAAAAAAATATATAATCACAATTTTGTGTTTATTTTGTAATTTTTTAAAATATTTTTTAATAATAAAATAATAATAAAATAATATTTAAAAAAAGAAAAAAAAAAAAAGGGATTGGGCTCGAGCTCGACAAAATTAACACGAGCTCGAGCTCGAGCCAGAAAAAGAAGAACTCGACGAGCTCGAGCTCGACAAAATAAACTCGAGCTCGAGCTCGAGCCAGCCAAAAGAGGCGAGCTCGGCTCGAGCTCGGCTCGTTCACACCCCTAGCCACGTGGGGTTTTGCTTGTTATGGGGAATTACGATTAATTCGGTTTTTACAAAAACAAAAAAAGAAAAAGAAAAAAAAAAAAAAATATATATATATATATATATATATATATATATATATATATATATATATATATATATATATATAAAACGACGTTTAGACTTCTAATACACTTTCGAACTTGAATTTTGAATTTCAATCTCAAATTGAAAACCAGATACCGCCCGCCAATATGAAATTCAATTACCAAAATCACATTTATTGAGTTAATTAGCAATAATAAATGTTATTTCCAAAAATAAAATGTTGTTAAATTTCAGATTATGGTAGTAATTGTTTGTATAAAAAAAATAGTTATTTTGTTTTTGGAAATAATATTTATTAGTTCCAAAAACAATAATTTTGTGTTCTTGGAAATAACACTAATTGTTTGGTGCAAGTAATTTTATTTTTTTTACGATGTTGACCTCAATTTTAATCTCATAATTTGAATTAAAACTAATCAGGATGAACAATCTTGAAACTTATACCACATGAACATGAGCCGGTTGAGTAAATGCTAGCAAATTACAAATTGAATGACCATAAGCATTTATAAATTTGAATCAATTTACGGTTGAATTGATTTCATAAAAATTAGAATGGCGATCGTTCGTGTACCGAATTATGAACATTGATGTTGGAATTAGTCGAAAAGATGCTATTAATGGATTATGATA